GAGGGCGTTTTCGTATGCGTTTGGCCAATCAATGTCTACTTGTGTCACGATTAGTACCAGTTGTGCTGGTTAGACCCTGCTCCGGAGTAGCAGCTAATTTGGTTCTCGAAAAAGGCAGTCCAGTACTAAAATCGCACCTAGTTCCGGCGGTGTGAAAACGCCAAAAAGTGGGTAGTTCCACAATTAGTTCTGGTACTATGAAAAGGTTCCCGCGGTGCGAAAGGCCCTTTAGACTCGGCCTCGGTGGCCTGGAGCAGTAGATGCTCTCTCTCCATCACAACACTGATCCAAACCATTTGCTTTGCTTAATGACAATGCTTAAAGCTCATTACAGTTTGTCAACTGTTGATTAATCTCCAGCAGGTCAGTCAGAGTCTGTGGCTGCGTCAGATGACACTGACATATCAAAGGACACCCAACCAAAAAAGAAGAGCAAGAAGAAAAAGAAGAGCGGTTTAAAGAGTGTTGAGGGTCAGCAGACACAGGAGACGCAGGACGCCACAGGTTTAACAGAAGAGAAGCTGGAGTCTGATGCTGAATTACCACAGTGTGACAGTGAAAGCAAGCACAGAGCGCACGAGAGTCCATGCTCCGAGCCTGCCCTTAAACAGATGAAGAAGCAGCGGAGGAAGAGGACGGCTTCGAGGAAGACCTGTGAAAAAGCAGAGGAAGCATATCACTGCTCAGAGATGGGAATCAGCGTTACATCAGCAGAGGTCGTGACTCCTGTACCGCCGAAGAAAAAGGCAAAAGGAGTCACTGTCTCGGCCATCGCAGCTGTAGATGTGTCAGCAGCCGCGGCACCACAGAAGAAGCTGAGAAGTGCCTCCTCAGACGAGCAGACCCAGGCAGATTCACAGAAGACACAAGACTCCGCTAAAGCCTCTCGTAAAACAACAGTGAAGAAGAAAGAACAGGAGGACGTCGTCTCGGACGTGCCAGGGCCAGAGACCAATGGAGACGCTCACCAGGAGGAGACGGTGCTCACCGAAGACTCGCAGCAGCCTGCTGGACGATTGAGAGCCAAGAAGAGCAAGCAGAAGTCAGCAGCTGTCCAGATCAAACCAGGGAGGAAGAGGAGGGTGAAGCTTTCACAGGTGAACGGACACGCAGACCAGACCAGTGTCAAGAGACCCAAGATCATCAGCGTAAGTCTGGGAGGCTCTCTCACTTTATTTGTGCTTTAAATCGTCAGAGGCTACGTTCACACTGCGAAGCCTTAGTGCTCAGTTACGATTTTTTTTTTTTTTGTATAGCAGTTCACATTGTGTTCGACCTTTTGTCCTTTTGAGTTTAGTTTTTTTGATCATCTTGCCTGTTGATGCCAACAAGCATAAATTGACACAGGTGTGTATTTTTATTGGAATTTGAATATTTCACCCTCATTTCCTTAAGTGCCCCTATTATGCCATTTTTAAGGTTCCTAACATTGTTTTGGGAGTCTCCTACAATAGGATTACATGCATGCAAGGTCAGAAAACGCTTTCGTTTTCTCAAAATATGCATTTAAAATCACCTCGTTTTCCAGCGATTCTCAAACGATTCGTTCAAAGATTCAGTCTCTCTAAACTCCTCTCCGTGAGCCTGCTCTGCTCTGATTGGTCAGATGGCCCAGTCTGTTGTGATTGGTCTATGGCGTACAGTGCATGTCAGAAACGATACGCTTATTTCAGTAGTTCTGTATTTTAAACGCTCTATAGAAAATATAAACATCTATTATTTATCATACTTACAGGTTGTGATTCAGTGGAGCAGCTGGTCCAAATAAACAGGATGCTGATCCATCTTTCAGCAGCAAGCGTTTTGTGAATCCCGCGTTGAGCTCCCCGAGATCAGAGAAGCAGTCGTCAGTAGAATGACGTGTTTGTGGGCGGCCGGCCAACGTAGAACATAGGTGCGCATTATGCAAATGTGTTACTCGATGACGTGTAGCCACTAACAACTCGTTTCAGCTGTTCAGAGTCGATTCTTTATTTTGGGAGACAATAACTTTATAGATCGTTTACATTCACATACAGCTACATTACACACTGCATCAAAGGCAATATTGGAAATGGCATAATAGGGGCACTTTAATAAATCTATTTTATGCTAGGTACAAAAAAATAGTTCCTCTCAGGACCTTAATGACAAAAATGTCCTCATTGAAACCCATTAAAACTGCAATTTTTAATCCCAGGGCCATTGAACTATAAAATGATGCAGTCTTCGTCAATAGGCTTTAATTCTGTTGGCAAGGTTTTGAGTTTTGAAACTTTTGATATGAGCGCTCATGTTATAGAGTCGTCACAGTTCTGACACATCACTGTACTTCCACTAATTAACTTTCACAACTGTCTTGATAACTTTGTGCGTGTAAAATCTTAGTGTCTCTCATGAGTGCAGAATCCTGATGAATGTCGATCTAGAGCAGTGTTTCCCAAACGTTTTGCAGCGTGCACCGCTTTCTAGTGTTTGACACATGTCAAGCACCCCCACCACCGTACTCCAGTTAAACACCACATTTGTTACTGCAATACAAGTATTCACTGTATACAGGGCTTGACATGAGCTCTTTTGTTCACCAGCCACTGTTGTTAGTGGTTTTCCAAAATTACTAGCCACTCAGCATTTTCAGTTTCACTGGCCACAATTTTGTTGCTGGAAAATTACATTTTATATGACTAAAGTTACTGCATATTCAAATTTATTTGAATCGATTTCCAGGGCTTTTTTTTTTTTTGCCTATAAAAAGGGCATTTCTCCCTAACCTTATTAAATGCATGTCATCTTTCATATCAAATTCTTACATTTTATGAATAATTACACTTAATATTATAAGACTCTATAGGGCTGTTACCAATCAAATGAAATCAGTATTAACAAAACCAATTTTTCCACTGCTGGAGAAACCGAAGCAGCTGAAGTGGCATTTAGATGCATTTACACAGACAATTGAATGAAGCTGAAATGTAGCATGAATGCATTAACACTGCAAAATTACAACAGCATAAATAATGCCATGAGCTTGGTGTTTTACATCAGGGTTTTTTATTTACAAATATGAAAAGTTGTAAAAAAAGTTACTTTTAAATGTGAAAGTAAGCCGCCAGCAGGTGGCAGCAAGTCTTAATGGGTCACCTGAGGCATTCAAACGATTCATTCAAATGACTGATTCATTCAAGAATGAAGCAAGCGCCTGCACTGTAAAATAAAATTCAGTAAATTTTACGGTAAAAAAAACGGCAGCTGTGGTTGCCAGAATTTTACCGTAAAAAATACGGTAGCAACGTTTTAGGTTTTACGGTTTTAACTTAAATTTACAGTTAAATACCGTAATTTCATTAACTGATATAATGTTAATATACCAACCTATTGAAGTACTGAAATCTGTTTTGTAGCTTTGTAATACACTGATAACCACCAAATGCAGGAGGTGATGAGAAAGTCACATGATGAACCAAAGCCCATCACAAGCAGCTTTTAAACATTAACATATATAGAAGGTGCACAGCGTCATTCACACAAACACTAAACACCATCACGGGAACACACATGAAACTATGCAATAAACATTCATTTAACAACATTAGGTGTAACACAACCCTAATATACAAAACTGATAAGAAAAAACTAAGAAGAAACATAGTTATTTCAACAAAAAAACATCAAATTTGAAATGTAACGCAGGGAATTCTGGGAATGTCAATTTACGGTCTTTTTCACTTCCAAAAACGGTATACTACCGTAAAATTAATGTCCAGTACATGTAATGTCCAATACAGTTTTTCACCGTATATAGTAGAGGAATTTACCGTTAACCATTACAGTAGGTTTTTAACTGTAGCATTTTTACAGTCTTTTACCGTCAAATTCTCGGTCATTTTTTACAGTGTGAATGGACCACTGAATAATTGACTCATGATTAATTCAAACATGCGAATCATTCAGTAGCCTAACGAAACACCGCTGATGCTGTGTTGCTCAGAGATGCGCGACAGTTCTGCTGCTAAGTTTGTTTGGAACTTTTCGTTAAACAAATCAAGCAAAAACAGTCACATTGACATTATTGTACTAAAATGTAAAATTTACAATCCTACTGATTTTTGGGCGAAAACTGCACTCTCTTAGTCGTGTCATGTTAATTAATTAGGCTAGGCTTTATGTAATAAATATAAAAAAAATGTTTTACCGTAGTAGGTTTCTTCTGTGTGCAGTTTTGTTTCGATTTCTCCATGAGATTGTCTCACGTGAGTCTCAACTGCCGCGACCTTGTTACTATTGATGATCCATTATGAATTGCCGTTTACACCAAGTGTAATAAAATCAGAATCATTCTCGCCAAAATTTTGGTGCTTCCCTGATGTTTTAATAAGATTAGATTAGTTGTCCGGTCGGGCAAGTAAAATTCTCTTTCACTCGCCCCTTCAAAAAAAGCACACAGATCATCAAAAGCACCCCTGCTGGTCGGTCTGCGCACCCCAGTTTGGGAACCGCTGGTCTAGAGTGATGTAAACGTCACATGAAATCTGACATATGGAAGTGGCGCAAACCGGAATTGAAAAGAGCAGATTGCATGTGTTTTGTGCTGTTCACACTGTCAAAAACAGATGAGTCACATGTGAGCAAAGAAAGTGCCTGCAGTGTCACTGAGCTGTTAGGTTCTCTGTCACCAGGAAGCTGAAGAGCCTTCAGTTCCAGTCACTAAAGACCAGATGAAGGCGAGAGAGTTCGTCCTCAGACAGAAGAAAGCTCCCTCACCCATCTTCTGTAAAGCTGCAGGATACAGCACACGCATGGCCAGTAAAAAGGTACACCACTCACACGTGTGCTGTTGAGAAGGCAGTGACGTCGCAGACGTGTGCGTTGCTTTAACTCAATCTTAGTTTTCTTGATCTCTTTTTTTTTTTTTTCTCTCCAGGTTTTGCTAGCTTCAAAATCTGAAATGAAGAAAGTTACATTTGGCCTCAAGAATAATAAAACAATGGGTATGTATGTGTTTCATTGTGAAAATGTGCTGCTAATTATAATTAGACAAAGGAAGGCGTAACAGACATTAGAGTTTGGTCTGCTAAAGCGTCCTGCTAGCTTTGTGAAGGTCATGGGATTTTTAGGTGGCACAGACTTATAATATATACTTTAGATCAGTGGTTCCCAAACGTTTTCTTCCAGGCCCCCTTTTGCAGAATAAAAATGCAATAATGCATTGAATCCCCCCCCCCCCCCCAAAGACTGAATACAGAAGTGTTTTAGCAGTCCATACCGGCCCTCTTAGAGCAGAACTACTGTTCTTCACTCATTCATAATTTTACTTGGCTAACAGCAATAATTAATTTCTGATTCATCAATCTAGTGGTCTGTTATTTAATGACAACCTTGGCTTCAGCTGATAACAGACCGCTCGAGCCAGTGCTGCGAGCCACCTTGAGGTAATAAAATGATCATTCATATGTTATTTACATATGTGGCAAGTAGCCGTACAATAAGCTAGATAATTGCACAGTGGGATCTTGTATCATCCGGAGGACGTTTCTTTTTACATAAAAATCTGCTGAGTGTACGCTAGCAGTTTGGGAACACTGGCTTAGATGCGGCGAGTCACTTCAGTCAAGCCCGAGACACTGCAGGGTTTTAGCACTGCACTGAGCGACATGCATCTAATAGACTTGGCTACGACGTGTGTGTAGACTACGACGACGACAGCTGTTGACTCATACGCTGCGACACGCGTTACTATAGAAGAAGAAACCTCATCAGCATGCACTAGAGGTAAACAAGAGCATGACGAATCACACTTTAGCAGCTGTAGTTTTTCTGTGTGCTGAATAAAAGTGCAAGCGGCGAAAGACGAAGGGATGAGTGCTTGAGGTAAGCCGTTTGTTTTAGGAGCCACGACTGTCACGATGCCAATCTTTCGTCTGGAAATCCTGCAGTGTGTTTAGGGCTTAAAATCATTTGTGACCCTGGACCACAAAACCAGTCATAAGGGTCAATTTTTCAAATCATCTGAATAATCTTTCCACTGATGTATGGTTTGTTAGGATCGGACAATATTTGAAAATCTGGAATCTGAGGGTGCAAAAAAAATCTAAATATTGTGAAAATCATCTTTAAAGTTGTTCAAATGAAGTTCTTAGCAATGCATATTACTAATCAAACATTAAGTTTTGATATATTTACGGTAGGAAATGTACAAAATATCTTCATGGAACATGATCTTTACTTAATATCCTAATGATTTTTGTCATAAGAGAGAGATGTATAATTGTGACCCATACAATGTATTGTTGGCTATTGCTACAAATATCCCCCAGCGACTTAACACTGCTTTTGTGCTCCGGGCTCACATTTAACTTTTTACTAAGAGGTTATATTCCAGAAAATAACCTGCTTTCCGGCTCTCTCCTGTCAGAATTCAGAAAGATGGACCAAAGCTCGCTGCTGAGTCCTGCCAGACAGTCTCGCGTGGCCTTTGACCCCAAGAGGACTCCACAGTCTGGGGTGCTGAAGTCGCCCGGGTCGTCACCTGCGGTCATGAAGAAGAGAGCCATGGCAGCAGATTTCTTTTAAAATAAAGCTTCACATGTTGTTTGTGAAATTTAGTCTATTGAAATGGCTTTTGAAAACAATGCATAAAGAGATGTTTTATATTCACTTTTGAAGTGTTCTTATGCTTTACTTTTTATAGACACGTATAATGAGTTGCAATATTTTAAGGAGGCTTGAAGAAGAGAGCCATGGCAGCAGATTTCTTTTAAAATAAAGCTTCACATGTTGTTGTTGTTTGTGAAATTTAGTCTATTGAAATGGCTTTTGAAAACAATGCATAAAGAGATGTTTTATATTCACTTTTGAAGTGTTCTTATGCTTTACTTTTTATAGACACGTATAATGAGTTGCAATATTTTAAGGAGGCTTTTTTTAAAGAATATTTGGATCATTTGAGAATTTCAGAAAGCTCTTTAACGAGTGAACAAAGTGGCAGAAGAAAGGAATGAAGTACAGCTAGTTAAGCCATCCTACATTTGATCTTACCATCATTTCTCAAATGTGCGTACATGTGATTCAGAAAATGAACGTATGCACAGAAAACGCACGCACTCAGATGTGAAATCTATGAATCACATATGATCTTGAACTTGCACGCAACTGAATGTCTTCAGCTCTCTGCTTGTGAACGACTCTTGAATTTGAGATTCACAAACTGGAGGGAGCTGATCAACTGATTCATCCGAAAGATTGCTGGGATTTCAGAAGGGTAGAGCTCTGAATCAAACACAAGGAAGATGGTTGTAATAAGATTGAGATTTATTAACAGTGCATATGCAAGAGTAAATTGAACAACTAGCAATGATACCAATACGTGAATATGCACTGCTAATAGACGACTACAGAAGGAAGATACTGAATAAAATCATAACAATAAATGGAGGGAACCCGGGAACCCAGAAAGGATAAATGCAATGCTGTTGAGCAGAATGTAGTAATGGAAGAGAAGTCTATGGTAATGCTTCTTGTAGGACAAAGAGTTAATGACTGGTAAAATTGAAGTTAAATAACTGCAATGTTGCATTCGATACGCTGACCTGGAGGAGGCTGAACTTTTGTTGTGCCCAGGTTCTTGGAGCGTAGACTGGGCAGTAGGGTGGCCCTTGTTGGGAGAAATGCTAACCTCTCACCCCCTTATTTGTTTCTCCACTAGAAGTTAGTAATGGATGCAAAATTCCATCCAGATACTTTGTCATTTAGGGTGTGCTCAAAGAATGTATATTTTTATCAGCAGGTGATATTAGCTATTAGTTTTTGTTGGTCAGCCTCGGTGTGGACTTCCCATTTGCATAGAGTATAACGTTAAACAGTGTCAACACTTTACCAATGCATTATCAACTATTTTAAGCTTTTAGTGGGATAAGTATGTTGTTGTTTCAAGATCTCAAGGAGAAATAAATTCCCATCTGTTTAGAAGACCTTTTAACAAAACACACTTCTACTATGAAGTGTTTTCCTCAGGTCTGCTTTCTACGTTTTCTCTGCGTCTGCAGCACTATTTCAATGGCAACATGATTTATTTGTAGACATGGTTCACTATGAGATTAATACTGGTGAATTCTCAAAATGTCCTTAACAGTAATAATGAGAGTTGGTCCCAAATATTAGATCGGAAGCTCTGGAAACCTAGTAAGAAATTCTTCTCCTTGGTGTCTGAAATGCAGTTCATGTTTGCGTACCTGTGTTCACACGTCCTGGGAATGTCCAGAAGTTTTGTGCAGAAATTATTTCAGCGATAAGCAAGATTCTTGGTTGACCAGCTGAGTTCACATCTTTACATTGTATCCACCATCATTGAAAGCATACTAGAGATGGCTTTATTATGTGCAGCTAGATTGAATCTGTTCAAACGGATAGAGAACCAGTCATATCTCTTTGGTTAAACGTTATTTTGCAGTAGCTCCTGCTGAGAGACTTTGATGCGGTGAATGCGGTGGTCCATCAGAGGTTAGCTTTGCGTAAAATTTGGAAACGGTTGTTAAACTGGGTGGACTCATCAGTGTTGATGTTCATCTGTCTCCTCTCATCTTGACGTTTCTATTAATATTGACAGTGTTATAGGTCATCCTTCCCCCATTATACACAATCTTGTCATACTATTTAATTCTACACTACGCACTGAACCCCATATCAACAAGCAACGACCATCCCTACATTTCAAAGATGCTGAAACTGCTATTCATGCTTTTATAACATTGCATCTAGCGCAGGGCTGCCCAAACTCGGTCCTGGAGGGTCGGTGTCCTGCAGAGTTTAGCTCCAACTTGCCTCAACACACCTGCTGGGAAGTTTCTAGTATGCCTATAAGAGCTTGATTAGCTGCTTCAGGTGTGTTTAATTGGGGTTGGAGCAAAACTCTGCAGGACACCGGCCCTCCAGGACCGAGTTTGGACAGCCCTGATCTAGACTATTGTAACTCATTATATGGCCTACCTAACAAAGCACTTAATTGCTTACAGCTAATTCATAATGCAGCTGCTTGTGCCCTTACATTTACTAAAAAACCAGCCCACATCACTCCTGTCTTACAGCAATTACATTGGCTCCCCATATTCAGTTTAAGATACTCATCCTAGTTTTCAAAGCTTGCCGTGGTTCTGCACCTTCTTACCTTTCTGAATGAATTCACCTTTATGTCCCTACACGTACTCTGAGATTGAGCTCTGGGAATTAGCTTGTCATACCTAATTTAAGAAGACTATCTAGTGTGGGTGGAAGGGAGTATGTTGTAATGTTGCTCTTTTGGTTTGTTGTTAAACCACATACAGAAATGAATGAAAAATTACATACTAAAAGCATTGGCAGAAACACTTTTGCATACTCAGTCAAATTCCTGTCAACCCCTAGCAAGCTATTAATCCGCTTAAAATGACTAATAATGGAAAACACATTAAGAATGATGACATGGATTTCTGTCCCAACAAAACCTCAAACCCTGCAGCTCTGCGATTCGGATATAATGTGTTTTGGAAAACTTGTTCCTCATTTATCCACTCTCAAGCTGTTCTCGGACCAGTGAGGGAATGTGGAATGTGGAACAGTTTAAAAGAAATGTTACCTGTTGAGGTCAGTATTAGAGTAATGGTTTCGCTCTGAATTAGTAACCAAACTCTAAGAATCATTAAGTGGTGACCTTTGTCCCACACAGCACCCGTTATAACTGTGGGACACATATCCTCTCAATTTCATTGTTCACAGGACCCCCCACCCCCCACAATGCAATTGTGTAAGTAGTAAAACAACACAAACGGGGCAAAAATGTGTTTAGGAACATTTAGAGTCTCCCCCTCTCTTGCCTCACAGTGCTTTGGTCCCAATGCCTGCTTTCCTCTTTTACATCACCAACACACACACACACACGAGTTCAGTGAGAGAGAGCAAAGCCAATAGTTGTGGAACTCCAGTAGGCCTAAGTAAAGCTGTCAAGGCTATTTTATTCACTTAAACATCGCATAAAGTGATTATTTTCTCTTTAATACATGATGCCAATATATTTTTCGATGAGTCTGCTATGTTAGCAATGATTAGGGATGGGCAGATTGATCTTTAACCATTAATTTTATTTACTTATGAAGAAATTCAGTGCATAAAATACGCTTCTAAGTGGAAAAATAGACTATATTAGCGAATAATTGTGTTGGATAGAACCATTTCTCCTGCTCATCGAAACACATGCAAATGCTGAAAGACAGAAGCTAATCACAGACAGCGTTCGCTGCTGACGCATGGCTCACAGTGCTTGTTCAAGTAGTGCTGCGTTTCCCAAAAGCATCAGAAGCATGAGTAGATCTTAAGAAACCATTGCCACATTATTACATTACATTAGCCAACATAACATTGTTACTATATATAACATTAACAGTGGTGTAGTGGTTCCTGTAGAAGTGGGTATACTCTTAATTTATGCCCCCATTTTTTTAAGCGGCCCAGCAAAGGATGAACGGCCTGTGTTATAAACAGTGACGTAAGACTAGTCTTGCATATTTAGTTCACCCCAAAATGGGCCAGTAGTATTTGCACATTTTCACTTACTGTAACTTCTGCTACTTGACTTCACGGAGTAAGGATCATTATTAAATTAATATTAGCCACAAAAGAGGTGCAGATTTTGCAATAAACAATTAAAATGTAAAAATTACATGGACTGCAACAATTAACATTTTGTCAGAACCTCTAGTAGACAAGATATTTTGTTTAGTTATCTGTTGGAGGATCATGATCTCTATTTGAAAAAATATATATATAAAAATTGTGATCAATTTATCCAGAATTGTGCCGCCTACTCCTATGTTGGACTGACTGTTTCTCCCATGGCATACAGTGATGGGCAAATAGTAACCCCTGCCTACTCCCCCATACCTTTTACAATTAACTATATACTATAAATAAAATAAAATTGTTTAGAGGATTTTTAATACAATTAAGCACTAGTCAAGCTGCAATATCAAACTGGACCACAAAGAGATGCCAAAAGATCACTAAACCTATTGTCTTGACCTGACTGTACAGGCTTCTATACGGATCCATTCAGAATCTAAAAGACAGCTTCAGGCTTCAGCATTATAAAACACTCGCGCTTTTAAGCCAAATACATGCTGAAAATAATAATTCTGGAGGTGACTCCAAGCAGCAACCCTCTACATTGCGAGTAAATCACTCGAATATGCGACTAAATCTTCACTCTAAATGACTAATATTAGCTAATTGGTAATGAATTCTCAGCTTTTACTCTTTAACGTACCGTAAACTCTAGTGTGAAGCGCACTACTCGCCGTCGCTTTGTTTCACCCTCACACAGAGAGAGAGGGAGAGAGAGAACTGCACGCTACATGTAAACGATATTCTTTGTTGTATTTTGCTGTAAAAATAACAGAGTTCCTTTGGAAATCTTCAGCTTTTAAGAACTACCGCTTACTCCGGTAGTGGGCGGAGCTAATGCGCAAACGGCAATCTCATGGCCTGCCGCTCACCTATTATCGTCCCTGTTTTGATTTCAGCGAATCAGTTCGAGCGAACGCACACAACCTGATTAATATTCATGAATCCAGTAGCTCATTAATCCTTGGTGCGTTTTA